ATATTTATAAATATATTTAAAACATTTTTATTTTGTATATTAAGCTAAATATTAATTTTTAAACATTCCTAAAAATTCAAGCAATAGAGTAAAAATATATTTATATTTTTAAAATGATTCTTATCGAATTTTATTGCATTTTTGTCTTTAACTACTTAAACAAATTTTTTAATATTGCACATATAAAAAAAATTTATTTCTTTCTTTTAATTTATTTGCCATTTGAAAACAAATTTTTTACTTTACGGTGGGCTACACTTAAATTTTTATCAATATTTTACAATATGTGCTAATATTGTGTTTTTCTTTTTTTGATTTTAAAATTTCAGAAACATTTGTTCAAAAAATAATCTATATTTTTTTAGATATATACGGTTACAAAATAGCATATTTTTTTATAAAAGATCATCTAATAAGTTCTAAGAAATTTTGATTGCGTTATAACAAGTTTTCCCTCTAAGCAGTGGATGTCAACCAAAAAATTCCAAAAAACTATGAATATAAAATATTTCATTTTTATTACAAATTAAGTTTATCGAAGAAAAAAACACTGAGCTTAATAAAAATATGTATTTACATGCGCTTAAAACTAAGCAATAGTTGATGATGGGGGTCATTAATACGATTGTAAAAGAATACAAGAGCTAGGCTAAAGGGTTTTGTATATATAATTGAAGAAATATCTATATACGAATTATATAAATGTTATGGAATTGTGCATTAGGCAAACATTATTTGCTGCAATTAGATAAGATAAGTATGTATGTGTATATCACGATTTCCCCTTACGCTAAACGCTGTTCAATTCTTTGGCACGTGGTTCACTCAATTAAATGCTATAAGAAATCATAAATATACTTGCAGTTGCTCAACTCTATACAGTGTGTACATCTGATGAAATATACATATGTATATGAAAAACACGTATGTAAAACAAACTCTATCAACTGTGAACGGAATGTGAATGGAGCACATTAGCGTATCATCTGAACAACCTGAGTCTGAAGGACATAATATAAAAGGCTATAATGCGCAGCATGATCAGCAGGCCGAGCATAAAGAATAAGGCCAGCTGATAGTTGGCATTCTCCATGTCCAGATTCTTGAGTATGTACTTGGGTCGCGACAGATGACAGTACATCTCGTTGCACTCCAAACGCTGCCGATCGTAGCCAAATAAGGCCAGCATAGCACCATCCAGACTATATTTTAGAAACGAGACATCAAAGAACCAGCGCAAATAGACCGGCGCATCCTTCTCCTGCAGAAAGAAGCCGCTGAATGCCAGAAATGGACAGATGAAGAACGGTCCCAGTATTGCGCCCAGATTCAAATTCAATGCCGCACCCACAGCCAGTCCAATGCTTTGCGCCACCAGCGCCGTCATAAACACAATCAAAAAGAACATGCCAAAGCGCCAGGGCTCCAGCGGCTGGCGTGTCATCAGATAGGTGGGCACTATAAATAGGGAGCTGCAGATGATCTGTATGGGCAGATCGGCCAGCGTGATGGCCACATAGTAGGCACGCAGCGAGTACCAACGATTGAAGTGCTCACGCGAAACAATCGGAAATTCCAGAGGAACTGCAATTAGAGAAATATATTAAAATTATTATTATGAATCTAAAAATTAATATAATTCCATGATTTCTATTTCTGTTATACTCTTGCCTATTGAAGCCATAAAATTGCCAACTTACACTTAACCAGAATGCCAGAGAAAGCACAGTACATGATGAACATGATGGTGTAGAAGACATAACGAAAATTGTTCAGAGAATTGCTGGCATCGTTGCCAATGCCATAGTACAGAAAGCCAATTAGCAGTCCGATGATAAGGTGTATGGCGAAACGCACTGTGGTCAACGAACTGTCCCGCCAGAGCAGCAAAAAGGTGCGCAACAACAGTATGTTTAACTGTCGATAGAAGGGCGTGGCATAGATATTCTGGCGCTTGCAGAGATGCGCCGGATCCAGATCCAATGTGGGCATCGACATGGTCGGCTTTGTTTTCTTTTTCTTCGGCTTACAGCAATTGGCATCGCTTTTGCTGGCCGCCACATCCTCGTTCATCGTTTGACTATCCCAGACGCGCGACGTCATCTCATTGATGGTCGTCATTGGCTTAAAGTTGATTGACTGTCGATTATAATTGGGCCCAGTATTCATAATGGGCGATGTAACAGGCGTGAGCAGGCCAGAGGACATCATTTGCTCTGCAAGTAAGGATTTCATATATTTAGTAGATGAATTTGTTTAAGATCGGTTTATCAATTTTGATAGCTTACCAACTTTAAGCATTGCTGCCACCTGTGTCGCATGCATTGTTTTGCTTTGTCTATATTCGTCGTTGCGTCCATTGTCTATGAGTGCTATCAGCCTGCTCACCTGCTGCTCGCCATCCTCATCATAGTCATGCGTAGCTATTTCCATTACTTGTTGAAATAAAGAGAATTTAAAGAATATATTAATATTCACATAAGTATTAATATATCAAATGCTTTAGGCATCGACTTATATAGAGAATATTCATATATTTACAATACATCACTTAAACAGCAAAGAACTAAGCCTTAACGAGAAGACAAACGATAATCAAATTAACAACTTAAGATTATGACAACAAATTAACAACTTAAGATTAGTAACGGAAGTTTGCCCAAGGGTATAGCTAACACCTAATCTCAGCTAATTCGCAAGCCTCTCGAATTATTGATCTTATTATTTATTTAGCCATTCCCAACTCAAACTTACAATAATCCACCGGATTATATGACTCTGGGCAGTGCAGGTTGGCAGCACTTAAAAATGGCACCAAATTCTGTGGTCCGCCTGCATAGATGCACTGACCCTCGGCGATCGCATAGAGATGATCGAACATGGAGAAGGTTAAGGCGCTGGGCTGATGAATA